CCCTTTTGAAAAAAGCCGGGACGGCAAACCCTTGAATATGCAAGGGGTACTCTATACATATATATATATATATGTATATTTATTATACCAATGCGAGGTCCGTTCGAATCCATTGCTTGTGTGGGTATTTTCCATGGGAAGTTTCGCAGACCTCAAGTTACTTTTAGGGGTGCATGTCGTGCAGCCGTTGGAACTTGAGATTTTCACTTCAATGGCTCCGAAAGAAGGACAAGGCCGTGGTTTGGTTTCCTCTTAACACTCACTTCCACGTTGCATGCATCGCTGTCGGGAATTGCCTGTCGTTTTGCAGGAAGAAGTGATTTCTACGTCTTGTTGCGCTGCTGCTTGTCAATCTTTTCGGACTCGTTTCCGCGCCCCGTGGTTTACTCTGCATGTCCCAGTTGCCGAGCTTTGAGCTGCGCGGCATGTTGCACAACAGGGAAACTTTAATCTAGGTCTTCCAGTAGTGCCCTTTGACCATTTTTGGGGGGAGGGTTCCCCTGCTAAAATAGACTACAGAAAAAATTGGTACCAACTTATTCTAACCTCTCTACTGGAGGACCTAGTAATTCATGAGCTGAGCTCAAACCAGGGCTGACTTTCAGTCAGGGGACGCGGAGCGGCTGACGGTGGCGGTGCTGAAAGATTGGCTGAAGAGCCAAGGGGTGGTGAACACCGGCAAGAAGCAGGCGCGGCTTGGAGGGCTTGATGCATGTTAAGTCGCCTTCCCAGTTGTTCACTTGCAGATGTGTCTGTTGGGTTGGGCGGGCTATCATATTTCCACTCCATGTGATGACCTGTTGTTTTTGGGCCCTTTGGGCAGGATGAGAAGGATGAAACCTTTCATGGATCCTTTCCTGAGATCCCGCTTTGCAGAAACCACAAAAACGCAGCGGGAAACATCTATCTTTTGAAAGAAGGATGATAAAACAGAATGATAGAATGGAAGGGGAATCTACTCCCAGAGCTATCTACTCCCAGAGCTGTTTCTTCATGTGAGCTGATTTATCGCGACAGGACTTGCTGGACCGCGTCCGCAGCCTCGTTTGAGAGTTGCAGTGGCTCCAGTGACGCTTTGAATCCCCCCATTTGGGCAGGTGGGCGGGGGGGAGGGGGGGTCCCTTCAAAATGAACATGACAAGTATGGGTGCTCCTTGTTTTGGCAGATGCGTTTCCCTTCAGATATAATACTATAATACAAACACGTGTATCTATGTGTATATATATATAGGTATTCTGACCATACTGATGAACATGTTTCGGGTTTTGTGCTGAGGCGAAACCAAAGGGACGGCATTTGTTTTAGGTGTTATCTTTTGGCACGATATTGTTTTGTTGTTTGCCGGGCGGAAGCTAGTTGGAGCGTTGGTGCTCGCGATTCGGTTTTCCCATGTTGGTTTCAAAGGAGAATCCGATTTAAACAATGCATCAAATGAATGATTGGAATGTGCAGGTGCCTTAGCTGGAAGACTTAAGTGGGATCTGGGGGCAGAAATCACTCCAACCCCTTTGCCCCCCTCTCGCGGTGGGGGATGGAACTTGTCGCGGGGGTAGCGATTCCGTGTGCAACACGCGGGGCGGGCCCAGCCCAGGATGAAGTTATTCTTTGAGGGTACCTTGCTTTGAATGGTTTAAAGGGACATAGATGCCCCAAAATGAAACCGACTCGAATTGAAAGCAGGACATAACTGGGACCCCAGGTGTATAACTGGGGTCTCCTAAAATTAGTTTATGACCGAAATGTGGCTGCCAAACTCTGAACATTTTCTTCTTGGTGTACCCTGTGGTTGCGCCAAGGTAAGCCCAGTATATGAGTGGCGTCCAATCGGTCTTGTCCTTTTTGAGTAAAGGGTGTCCCTTGAGAATCAGACAACAACAACAACAACAACAACAACAACAACAACAACAACAACAACAACAACAACAACAACAACAACAACAACAACAACAACAACAACAACAACAACAACAACAACAACAACAACAACAGGTGCTGTTTCTCCATCGCGACTTGGCTTCTGAGTAAGGGTGAGTTTTGCTTTGGGCTCGGTGCTCTTTGGGGGCTGGTGTTACAGCCCGAGCAAACCTCCATTCTCGGTCACCTGTTGTAAGGCACCTTGCACGGCCACTTCGGGACTTTTGGCCCATCTAAGACCTCCAGTTAGAGGTAAGATCTAGGCAAGTGAATTCGCAACCTCACCAACGCCGCTTGACGCCCTTACCCGCAATGCAGCTTCCTGGGGAAAGTCTTTTGGCTTGGTGACAGTTTAATGCCGCAGCCCTCTGTTTGCGGGAGTGCTGGGTCGCGATTTTCTGTTTGAGCAACCCGTTTTCCGGCCTTTCCACGAACCTTGACTTTTTCCATGAGCTTCGGTCACCTGGCGAGAAAAAAGCCGCACGGCTCCGGAGGTAAGTAGGCGCCATGTTCGTCTGGGGGCAACCCTGGGTATCATAGAAACCAGCTACCGGAAATTCTACCGGAAGTTCGCCAAAAAAACACCCGGCAAAATCAGAGGGAATTTGTTCCTATAGGATTTGAATTTCCTGTTGGTTTCTTAGGGCAGAATCGCAATTTGTCAAGGGCAAAGGGCTGGGCCTTCGGCTTCGACGCTTCGATCTTCCAATCGGTCTCACCGTGTACAGGTGTGGGATAGCGCCAGGAGCCAAATCTGTGCGAAGCGCGTGCGGGGGGCGCCGAAAGGTGCTGGATGTAGATGGCCGGTTGAGAAACAACTGGTACTAGCCTAGTACTAGCTCATTTGGAGGACCCCTCTGTAAAGCAGGTCCTTTTTGAATGCATCCTGCAAGGCGTCTGGTTTGGGGATTCGGCTTGTGTAATGGCGAGCAGCGCCTCAAGAACTTGGAAGCTCAGCCGCGGAGTGGGGGAGAGCTAGATGCCAGCCAGGCCCCTGTGTTTTTTGTTGTCCCTGTTTGTTTTCCTTTAATTGTTCCTTTGAAGAAAAAAAGCTGGTACATGTTGGTACCATTCTCAAACTGCCCCAGGGGACACCCAGAACATGGGGTATGCAACCACAGTGTGGAAAAAGTTGTCCTGTGCATCTCGCATCCTTTTCGCGGGGCGGGGAGCGCACGATCAAAGGCAGAATTAAGGCCGGAAATCAGCTTGCACCACCCCTGGAAGCTGGAACATGCAACCATGCAACCACTCGCCCTTATGGCACACTGTTTCCATTTCCTCTTGGGGAGGGGAACTGGAAACCATGTTCATGTCTTGAACGAGTTGCGCCATTAAGCAAAATAAAAGTGTGTGTTTTCACGGGCGGATGGCTAGGAGCGATCGATTCAGGGCTTGGACGTGGTTAGTTTCTCTGCAAGGTATCAGCTTAGACACTCAGGGCACGGCACTTGCTCCAAGCCAACCAACCTCCTGGTTTCAAGCATTTTTTTGGGCAACCATCTGGCCAACGCTCGAAGTTAAAGCGTCAAGTCCTTTAGGCACGGATCCCTGCGGCAAGGTATGCGAACCTGTTGGTGTGCCCGCGTTGGTCCGTTCTGAGCCAAAGCCTCACACAAAGAGTTCTTTATTCCTGGATGAGGGAAACACACACTTTGCTAGCAGCAGAGCTCGCTTTGCAAATTGGCAACACCCTGTCGTGTAGAGGCCCCGATTTAAATTCAAGCTTTTTCAGGTGAAGACAACCATGCCCGGCCCATGGATGTTTAGCTTCCCCATGCCAACTGGTTGATATAAAGTCACAAGTTTGGCACAAAGGCGCAAGGGTCGATGAGCCACTCACACAATTATGCTGAAATGTTGCAAGTGATGCCTTTTGCTGTTGCAGGTGTCACGCACGCAAAGCAGCTATATATCCTTGCTTTATATTCCCTATTTTCTAGAGCAAGCCTCGCTGCGTGCAGGTCCCTCGTGAGACATGCATGTTCCTGGGCACGCGCCTTGTCCGCACACTGCCCGAGCGAGTCTCCTTGGGCGGGCCAGGTTCGATTTGCGCTACTTGTATGGCCTGGCGCTGTGACTTGTTTTTGGCGAAGCCTTTTGTCGGTTCCTTTCCCTAAAAGGCCAAAATGTTGGGTCTCCCTCAATATGACCCCCCTCCTTGGACAGAGCCAACAGTCATCTTAGGGCCTCTTTACTGGGACAAGGGAAGGCAGGTTGGGCTTGGACTTGCCAATGCTTAATTTAGTATTGCAAATTCTCAATTTAGTATTGCAAAGATTGACTCTCAGTTTCCCAGTACTCAAATTAGTATTTCGATCTCTAAACCTTATATTGCCAAGACTTGTTTCAGACTCTTCGTACTTAGTTTAATATTGGCCAGCGTCACATACCCCCTTGATGCGTTGAAAGTAAGACTCAACATGTTCCATTCCCTGAGTCACCGTTTTGTGACACCACTATTTGACATTTTGAAGCGGTTCCCTTGGCATCACAGAAGAAATGCTCTAGAATAGGTCCAAAAAGATGGAAGGCAACAAGGATAACTAGTCATTTTGGCGTTTCCCCACTGCAAGTGGTCCTGGCAGAAACTGGAGCCATTGCATATGTTTGATCGGCTGTAACGATTTTTGGGTGGGGATCACGCCAAACAAAATCGGATTTCAGGGTGCCGCTGAACTTGCTCGGCCACAGAAGAGATGGGAATGTCTAAAAGACCTGGGTTCACGGGATCCTTCGCGGCTTTTTCAGCCCCCCCCCCTGCAGGTTCCAAGGGCCCAACACGTGGGGTCTACATGGTGACATGCGAAGTCGAAAAGCTAGAACTCCATGAAAAGCGATACAAACAAATCATCCAAACCGCGGGGTATGGCCTGTTGCGAAATTGAGGCGGCCACGCGAAGGACCTTGCGCGCCCAGTTTCGGAACTTCATGCACAGACATTAACCAGCAACACTTGAGCTCATCTTCCAGCTTCTGCGGCAACAGACTGTGCCAAATCTTCCTCTCTCATCAAGTGGCTCCGCACGTTGAACATTGCCAACATGGGCGGTCACGAACCCTGGTACTGGCGGCTGAAATCCCCACTGAGGGGATAACGACAATCCCTACTGACCCATGCAAATTGTGCTTTGACAATGGCACACGTGGAAACCAAAACGGGCTTGCTGGCCGCCTCTTGGTCATACACGAGGTAATCATACCTCCCAAATAGTGTTAAGCGGTGGTTAGTTGTTCATCAGCAGTCCGCAACGTTGTGCCTGCTATTCTAGTTGGGGTCGCTTTAATGGAAAGTTGTGTTCCTATTTCAGAACCCTGTGACAGATTGCGGAATCGCTTGAATGGAAACAATTCCGGAAACAAATCCGGGCAAAGAACGAACCACGGCAAAGCAAAGCCTGAGCCTTTGCTTTTGAAGGGTGCTTTAGCTAGGCTCTTCCCGCTAAAGGCCTTGCATCGATTTGTGCATATCCCCAATTACCCCCCCCCCCAAAAAAAAAAAAAAAGAAAGGCCGCCAGTGAGGCAAAGGGCTACCTCACCAGAATCCCAGATCCTCTTTCATCTGTTTGTTTTGGGGTCCGTGTTAATGAAAAGTCTTGTCGCGCGGGCGTGAAACTCCAAGATCAAAGCATTTTTCCCGAAAGCATGGCGAAGGGTTCTTCCGCTGGGTTCACTTGAGTTGTTCTCATGAGAGTCATTGCAAGGAGTCATTGCAAGGAATCATCATCATGAAAGTCATTGCAAGTCATTGCAAGGAGTCATTGCAAGGAGTCATTTCAAGGAGCCATTGCAAGGAGTCATTGCAAGGAGTCATTGCAAGGAGTCATGAGAGTCATTGCAAGGTGCAAGGAGCCAAGTGCATGGAGCCAAGTGCAAGTTGCAAGTGCATGGAGCCAAGTGCAAGTTGCAAGTGCAAGTTGCAAGTGCAAGGAGTCAAGTGCAATTGACTTGCGAGGAGTTAAAATCTCTTCTTAGGGCGGCGGGGGAGTGCCGACGACACTTTACGAAAATCGACCCTCTGCGGGGATTGGCGTGGTCGACGTGCAAAAACTCAAGGTTTTTTGCGATGTTTTTGGGCCCGCGCGACCCTCTGCGGGGATCGGCGTGGTCGAGGTGCAACACTCGAGGTTTTTTGCGATTTTGTTGGGCCCGCGCGACCCTCTCTGCGGGGATCGGCGTGGTCGAGGTGCAAAAA